ATCCATAAAATTAAGTCTGTGTGGCCCAAGCAGCATCCACGTGAGAGAAAATGCAAGTGGCTAGCATCAAAGGGAGTCCTAGTTGTAAGCAATTTAATTGCGACCTTGGAGCTAAATATGAATATAATTTTCAATAAGCTGAAGGTATATAATGTAATATAGCCAACAGCATTCACATGAAAAAAAATATATGCCATACGTCTTTCATTCACGTGGCTGTCGATGGCTATATATTACATTATATGCCATATTGCAAATGATTCCCAGCTCTCGTTGTCAAATAAAGTGCTCACAAATAACAGCTGGGATTTCTTTTGATGCTAGCCACTTTGATGCTAGCAATCTGACTCAATCGAAACATAAATACACTGAAAAGGTCACTGAAAAGATCTTGATTCATCCAGTGGGGGTCACTGGAAGACAGACAAAAAATGTCCAGGCTATGCATGATGTAGGAAATGACTAACAAACTGGTGGACGTACCAAGTGCTAAGTACCTAATACATGTACCAGCCCAGAAGAGAACAAGAAACAGTCATGCCTTCAAATATCAGAGTTATCAACCAAGAATTGAGGTGTTCAAAAACTCGTATTTCCCCAGAACTGTCGTAGACTGGAACTCGTTGCCACCAAGCACAGTTGGGGCATCATCACTAGAAAACTTTAAACAACTCCTGCAATCAAATTTGCAAAGAATGTGTGTAACAGAGCGTTCGGTGTGATATACTAGTAGCTAGCTGCCGCCGCGCCGCGTGCCTGCGAAGCTGGGCAGGTGTGTTACGCCGGAGTGCGGTTATACTGGCTATACAGATATAAATACAGATGATACAGATACATATAACCAGTGGCTAACACGTATTTTACATGGCGTATCACGGTTTAGCATATGATCCATACTTCTAATGAGTCTTGCGTGCTTGTACGATTACCAAAAAAAAAGTTCCCATGAAATAGTATGGGGCCGTTTTTGGAAGATGTTCGCAGTAAAAACGCATTGTACTGTACGTAGTATTACTGTGTGAAGCGACGGTCACAACCCGCCGTACGTGCTTCTGCGTGCTGTCTACGTGCAAAAACGTGGCCAAACGCAGGGCATCCGTGCGTGGTGAGTACCACCTCCGTACGGAATCCTACGGATTTGGGAGCACGCAGACACGCCGTAGAACTTTTTCTACGTGCGGTCTGCGGATTCACCACCCGTGCGTGCGAGTACGAGCGACGTGCGTGCCCCGTACGTGCCGTGCGGAAGAAGCACGTGTGAGTTCGGCCTCCTTACGGTAAAGTTGCAATCGCACAGAGATCGTACGTTGTAAGCACGTACAACTCACTTACCACTTGCGCAACGTACAATGCACGCAACCGCTCACGGCCAGACGTAACGTGCAGACCACACTCTTACACCTTGCGCAATCGTGCGATTGACGTGCGAGTGACGTGCGTCGACGCCACTTTTTCCCTACGTTTTCAGAAAAAAACGTAGCAGACGTAGCCTCCCAGAAAACGTACGGACAGAAAGCACGTACGGCGGGTTGTGACCGTCGCTTGATTGGGCATGTGGTCGCTTGCATTGACGTTAAATGAGTCTTCAACATCGCCACTTCGAATTCGTTGGATAGCTTTAGATCTATCAGACCATCAAAAGGCAGGAGTGAATCTCGTCCAACCGGACCCCACGTGGTTACCTCACGTCATTATATAATAAGCTCTTTATTCTAAAGCTTCATATGAAGCTCTTTCAAGTTCATACGAAGCTTTAGATTCTTCAAGACAAATTAGAGCTAAATTACCGGGTTGTTTGAGGGGTCTTGCTTCTTATTGTCACCTGTTAGCTTCAACTTCATTTGAAGCTTTGGATTCTTAACAAATTACTGGGTTGTTTAAAGGGGCTTGTTTCTTATTGTCACTTGTTAGGTTTAGCTTCATGTAAAGCTTTGTATTCTTAAAAACAAATTACTGGGTTGTTTGAGGGGTCTTGTTTCTTATTGTCACCTGTTAGCTTCAACTTCATGTAAAGCTTTGGATTCTTAAAAACAAATTACCGGGTTGTTTGAAGGGCCTTGTTTCTTATTGGCACCTGTTAGCTTTAACTTCATTTGAAGCTTTGGATTCTTAAAAACAAATTACTGTGTTGTTTGAAGGGCCTTGTTTCTTATTGGCACCTGTCAGCTTTAACTTCATTTGAAGCTTTGGATTCTTAAAAACAAATTACTGGGTTGTTTGAAGGGCCTTGTTTCTTATTGGCACCTGATATAGCTTTAACTTCATTTGAAGCTTTGGATTCTTAAAAACAAATTACTGCTTTCCGTAAATAATTTCATCAGGTTGGAAGATACTTAGGGTATAGAATTTTCTTCTTACACAACCAGTAAGGTTCTCACCTGCTTACGTTTCGATGTCTATCAGACACCTTCCTCAGAGCTTCTGACTGGAGTTCTGCAACTCGCCGCTATTTAGCGCCAATGTAGGTGGCGCTTTTGCGGCGAGAATGCAATCCCAAAGCAGTCTGGATAAGGAAGTCAACCCCAGTGATGAACCGGGACGAGGGGGGATACAAGCTCAGCCACGTTTGGGATTGCATTCTCGCCGCAAAAGCGCCACCTACATTGGCGCTAAATAGCGGCGAGTTGCAGAACTCCAGTCAGAAGCTCTGAGGAAGGTGTCTGATAGACATCGAAACGTAAGCAGGTGAGAACCTTACTGGTTGTGTAAGAAGAAAATTCTTAACCCAAAGTACTGCTTTGTTTGGGGGGCCTTGTTTCTTATTGGCACCTGTCAGCTTTAACTTCATTTGAAGCTTTGGATTCTTAAAAACAAATTACTGGGCTGTTGTAGGGGCCTTGTTTCTTTATTGTCACCCTCAGGCACAATACTAGATGACTTGAGATTTCTTAAGAGAGCTCAGAACTCAAAGTTCAAACGGTCTTCTACTTTCTATCAGAAGACTTTAGATGAAACAATTAGTGGCCGTCTAACTGCTTAGATCTTGCGACTTCTGCTTGGAGTCACTGACATCCAGAATTTGGGGTCACTGACATCCAAAATTAAATTACGCCTTCCGAACACTAGCCGAACGTCCCGCGACCATGGTTATGGTTGGGAGTAGGTCGTGGCAAAGCCGGCTGGTGTTCGGCGAGGTCGGCTATTATTCGACTGCGCAGACGAATGTTTCAAAATGTTGAAAACATTCGGGGGTTGGTCGGTAGGTTCAGACATGGTTGTTTGATATTCGGCTGTAAGTCAGCAGATTACCAGCCAACCATTCGGGAGTAAGTCAGCAGTTTTCGGGGTGTGTTCGGGGGTGAAATTTGACTCAAAGTACCTTTCCTATAAGGGCACAAGATCTGTGGTATGGCAGGATTCGAACTCGGGACCTTTTGGTTCGGAGCCGAACGTTCTGTCTTTACGCCATATACGACCCCGACGTTAGCTTTAGACCATGTTTATGTGAAGTCACCCAAACCGCGATTCGGGTAACTCACATTCCTCACATCTGGTCCACGTGCCACACATTCCTTTCAAACCGTGTCCGATCACAATTCGCCTGAGCTACATTTATTGTTGTTTGATGAAAACACGCAAGGTAGCGTGTTACAATACTTACATTGAAATCACATTGCGTTCAGACGCAAATCGCGATGCGGGAAAACCGATTCGAAACCACCTCTAGAAGTGGTTTGGGATCGAGGCACTTTCAATGTGATTTGGAGCGTTCAGATGGAGCCACGTGAAAGTAAACCAGGTGTAAGCGCCTTGGGTGACTTCACATAAACACGGCCTTAGTTCGCTAATCAAGATCCGCACGTACGAACGCACACGTGGGCCCCAAACGAAAACCCGTACGGTCACTTGAGTTGCCACCTAGACATCACTGCTCGATTTCAATGAGATGGCTTCAGATTTCTAAAGAGAGACGGATATGGACGTTCTTTGATGTGGTAGTGTACATGTAACCACCGGCAGCTACGTATACGTACGAGCAAAACATGTTTTAGCTGGGAGGTACAATTAACGGCCATCTAACTGAGAAAACCTTCCCGCACCATCTGTGTATTTTGTTTCTTACAGTGTGTTATATATTGCCTTCTTGTGCATGTTGTATTGTATGATTTATTCCTCTTATTGAATGGTTTGTATTTTACCTTTTAGATTCTGATTCACTATTCGCTTTGTACTAGGTCACGCTGATTTAATCATATGTATTACACTGATTTAATTATATGTATGGCATCCGTGCGCGCATTGATTTTTGCCTGTTCTTAAAATAATAATAACATCTCCAAGGCTCTGGCCTGGGTGCCATCCTCCATAGTCCATAGTAGTTAGTGACAATAGGGAGCCGGTGGTAACTACGGAGGATGGATCCAGGCTACCGGGGCTCCACGGAACTCAAGAACTCAGTACAGTGCCGACTTATAAATGCTGCTAAAGGCCAGCATGTGCCAGGTTGTCATAAAAGTCACCATGTACTACTGCTACTACTACGTACAGCAAATTCACAATACCAACTTTGTTCCTGTGATTTAGCGACATTTAGCAGCATTTTGTTTCGGGGGGGGGGGGATTGGCCACATTCCTACAGCTGGGTACAGCTACTGATCTAGGGAAGCCATAATGACTGGCTACCCCAGCTTTAAAATGCTCAATTGACTTAGCCATTACCAGATGGTCAGGTAGGGCATTCCATTCAATAACTGTTCGTGGGAAGAAACTACCTCTAAATGTTTCTGTTCTACAGTGTAGTGTGTTGAAACGTAGCTGGTGTCCTCTGGTTGGGTTTGTATTTCTATACCTATAGCTAGTAATGACTTATATCACTAGTGCCAATAAATTCCATACCGGCACAACTAGATACAAACAATAACCAAGAAAGAATATCAATAAAATTGTTACCACTGCCTAGTTACAAATCTTTCACAAGTTACCTATTAGTACATCATTATGTTCTGTGTTTATCTTTTACAGCTCGCAGGAGGCTAGGTCATGACCAAAACCAATATAGACTTTCACAAGTGGTTTACCAACCGTCCAAAGGACGCTTTGCGTAACAGTAGCCGCCTGGATTTTTGAAATCCAAAACGTTTAAACGCAAAATTGCAGGTAACTTTCAGTGCCAAGCATTTGTAGAATCTTCGCTAGGAATCTCAGCCGACATAGTTTTGGGAGTTTTACGGATAAGTTGTCGTAAAGTTGGTTTACGTTTGTTTTTCAAATTCCAGAGGATTTTCAAAATGGCGTCCGTGCATCCAGGTGCTGATCCAACGCAGGGACAGAAAGAGCCGCAGGTGATGATGGGACAGTTCGCTCCTGGCCCTGCCTTTCCCGCTGCTATGCCCATGCAGCCACAGGTAAAGTGTCACTAAATATTTGTAATTTAGAATCTAACAACGTGCTAAAATTTTTACAGTATGATTTAGACAATTTCTGGAACAGCCGCCATGTTCGAAAATGTACAGCATTGTGTTTACTCCCTCTGGATACAGCATTTTCTTTCTTACTGTATGTATACGACTACGAGAAAAGATTTCGGGATGAGAGAAGAAAGTATTATGTATCTATAACAAGGAAATACAATGTATTGGCTTTCATATTCCTCTTTCTTGGTTCATGTTAAAACTTTTCAAACGACGAAGAACTTAAAATTTTGCCTTCGTAGGACCTCTCAAACATGCCAAGTCAAGTCAAAGTTTATTGCACAACGAATGTAACAGGTACAATGTACATGTATGGCCGATAATAAAATTACTAGCTGGTATAAGTCTATAAAAATTTCGTATGTTTCTAGTAAGGGATCGTATGTATTCCGTAATATTCGTGTGTTTCTAGTAATGGATCGTATGAATTCCGTAAAATTGGTATGAATTCTTTGGCACCCCTGTACTATGTCTGCCAGAATGTTGAATATAACTACTGACTAAGAAGAGAAAAATGCCGATTTTTCTGGTTTGACCATCCAACATGGCGGACAATACTTACGTCATAGTCACATGAGTGTAAACCCCATATTTTACTAGCCTGGGTACCATCCTGGTTAGTTGACGTCCGCTCCCACAGTCGCTACCGGCGTTGATAATGAATGAATGAATGAATGAAGACCTTTATTGTACACACATACCCACTGGGTTAAGTACAGGTCACAAAAAAGGATGGAATATAGATAATGTTACATACATACATCGTCAGTAGCGCTAGCTACAATCACGTAAATTCGGTTTCTTCTCGTTTCTTAGTAATGGCAAAAATGTAAGAACAGATATGTTTCAACACAGAAGGTTTGTTTAAGCTTATTAGAAATATAAATTTATCTGTACAGCTTAGATGTATAAAGAGGGGGAACATAGATTGTATCAGATTATAAAGATCTACTCTCTCTTTGTGGTATAGTTTACATTCTGTTACAAAATGTTTCTCATCTTCGATTCTTCCTAGATCACAGTACCGACATATTCGTTGTTCTAGGGGAGTGCGCTTATGTCTACCGGTTTCGATGTGTAATTTGTGGCAACTAATTCGGAGTTTTGTGACGGCAGTTCTGTGTCGTAGATTATCAATATTCATAATATTTTGGGCCTTCTTCAGGTCATTACCCAGCAGCCTGTGGGGTACGTGGCTACCGCCGGCCCACAGACACGTGACTGGAGCAGTAGTCTGCTGGGCGACTGGTGCAAAGATCCCACCGCCTGTGAGTAGCCATTCAAACATGTATTAAGTCTTCATGATAACGGTATTCTTTGCCCGTTTTGTCTTGCAAAATGTCTACATTCTGCACAGGTCAGTGCAAATGACATTGAAGGGATTTTCCAACCTTTGCAACTTGTTCCCTCAATCCTATGTCAAGAAGAATGTAAGCCCGCAGTGAGGTGACAAAATTTATGGGTCAACGGTGCATATATGCAAATCAGCAAACGGGGGGCGATACCAGCTTATAACACCTTTGATTACGTTACTTGAGTTGAGTTGAGTACACGTTTCATTATTCCAAACGTTTAGCTTCCAATTATACAACTCGTGTTACTTTCTTCCGTTTGTCATCTTGTCCTAATAGTCAAATGTTATTTTAACCAATGCCCTTCTATTCCATATCTATTTAGTTTGTACATAACCTTGCAATATCTGTGTTTTGTGTTTTTCGATGGCAGGTCTGTGTTCCGGTTACTACACAGGCCTTTGCTACACCTGTTACATTCTCCCGCGCATGGGAGAGAACTGCTGGGTGGGTTGGATGTTCTCTTTCCCAGCCGCTCTTGTCCCTATGAGGGTCAAGATGAGGACGCAGTACGGCATACAGGTCAGTTTATGGCTTTTTCGTGACGCCTCAGTTTTGGAGGCATTAATTACCTCCATGAAAAATGGAAGTATTGTTTTTGGCGTGTCTGTGTGTCTGTGTGTTTGTGTTTCCGCACATTTGTAGTCAGCATAACTTCAGAACGCCTTTATGGATTGTGATGATATTTGCTATGTTGGTAAGTCTTAAAAAGGTCAAGGTCAAATATGGGCCTCCTGGTGGATGACCTTGGTACTGCAGCAGAACTTCAGGTTTTTGTATCTTTTGTTCTGAACATGCTATGGTCTTGACTTTTTGGTGACAGATAGCTTTTCGTGTCAGGAATAAGTGGTGTGGGTTTGGTCTCCCTAGCAGCTTGTTCTGGAACTGCAGGGCACTTTCAGGCGAAATCCTTAAAAGCCAATAAGTACAGATAGGAACAACGTATTTTCATCATTTTTGGTGTGTAGGTAGCTGAGAGAGAGTTGTACATGATTAAATACAAATTATGCAAATGAGGACTTAATTTGCATAATTAATGAGAAAATGCCATAATTTCAGTGTTTTATGTAATAGTACCTTTATGCATGATATCTATTTAATCTGTGGCAGGTGGAACATCAACAGATACCAATTATGTAAATGATGACCTAATTTGCATAATTAATTTGAAAATTCTGTGACTCCTTATTGGTGAATGATGGGACTTTTATACCTTGTGACATGTGTAAGTTACTTAAAGGTTAACACCACTATGCATATATTATGTTAATGTGGAGGTCATTTGCATAATTAATGAGGACATGTTGAAATGTATGACAAAGCAAGCCCGTATTTCATGAAGGTATGAGATCTCGGAACTCTTGTTGAGTGGGTGTTTTAATAATATTGATTTATCATTATATAGTACTAGTATATGATAGGTGTTGCTCTATCAGTGAAACAGCCGGTACATGTACTATTACTTCTATTCTGCTCATTTTCGTGTTGAGGATACTTAATGTTGAATTTCTTATCATCAGTTTGTGTCACCGTTACTTATGCATTGTAAGTTAATTTTATCGCTACTTCCACGGCAAATGCTCCGTGGAACTTCATTCGCTAGTGCCCCCACTTTGAAAATTCTCAACAAAGACACGTCTTGCCACTTCCACCGAAGCAAGTCACCCTTTCTTCCTCCATCCTCCATTACCCAAAACATTTTAGGTGGCTCCCATGAGCCTTGTACGTAATACTATGTTTTGTGGTGACCGATGAAGTAAATAAAAAAAAAATTGGACACTATTCTTTCATATTTGCTGTACAGGGCGATATGTGCAAAGACGTCTGCATGTCTTGTTGGTGCCCCTGGTGTGTTCTCGCGCAGCTGTCTCGCGAGATCGATTACGTCAACGGGCAGCCCGCCATGGATCGTCAGTAGAGGGGGTGACCACCAATTACAGCGTCTAATTCCATTGTTGAACTGCAGTAGCTCGGTTAATGCAATAAGCTAACAGTTGCAGATTAACCGAATTCATACTGTTTACCTTCGCATATGGTTTGCTCTGTTAATTCTTACTCAATCACATTCGCATATATGGTGACAGGAGTCTAAATCCCTCCTACTATAAAATTGCAACATGATGTAACCCAACACCAGTTACCATGGTGAGAGACAGTCTGGTTCAGGTCATTGACCAGGTCAGAGGTCAGTGTTTGGAACGGAAGATGAAGAACATAACAAAACTAAAGCCAGTAGGCAAACAAATGTAGCAGACGTTATACTACAGAGTACTGCCCTCTCTGGTGCACATCAAATTACAAAAGTAGCTACGCTCCGTATGATTATGGCCACTGGCCATTTCTGTAGCCGCTTCATCCTTTGTTGGTCTTTTCACATCTCCTGTACCTGTCCAATCTGGTGAATAGAATGCTGAGCTACATGATGATGTTACATCGCCCTATTTTCCTGACATTTGTCCTAGAGTAGTACCCATGACGTATGAGAGATTCACAAGTGTTTTTGCGATGCCTACCTACCTAGCTTCACAAACATATCTCAATTATCCTTTATGATATAGAGAATTTTGAAATCCGTAAAGCTATAACACAGCTAAGAATCAGCAGTCACAAATTGAATATAGAAACAGGAAGATATTACAATGTAGCCCCTGACCAAAGATTTTGCCCACAGAAAATCGAAGATAAATTTCATTTTATCATGGAATGCTCTAGATATGATGTCCTACGTAATAAGCTATTCAAATTTTTCACTTCAAATACGACAGATTTCAATAGACTTGTTGCTACAGATAGCTAGATTTGATTATATATTTAAATGCAACAGCCCACACAATGCAAAAATAGGTAAATACATAAAAGACTGTCTTGTTATTAGAAAGAATACTGATTTGCTGTCACATGTACCCATAAATAACTCCGCCTGATTGTAAAGCCTAAGCTAACTTTTGATTATTTCTTTTCTATATATAAGTTGTTAAGTTTTTATTCTATACCTATCTATTTTACTATGCTACTTATTTTTACCTATTTGCCATACAATGTACCCTGTACAATTGTCGTGCTATAAAGTTCTTCTATGACGGTGGTTATTGACCTCCGTGGGAAACTAATTGCTGACAAGAAGGTTGTTTTTAACCGTTCGTTTGATTTAATTGAATGAAAGACCTTTATTGCACATTTATGCTCTTTCGAGCTAAGTACAGGTCATGAAGACAAACTAAATAATACTATTGTTTACAGGATCGACTTCTTCTCGCTTCTTAAAACAATTGTAAACTAGAAAGGCCAATATTTGCTTTGGAGCAAATACAGCGATGGGTTCACCACATTTTACGACATGGCAGGGAAGGAATGAGAAACACAAGGGAAAACAATGATTTACATTGATATAACTATAATATGAAGTAACATACAACTAAAACAACAGTTGGATAGCTATTCCCTACTTTATTGGTTAGGATTTTTAATTGCATAATGCAAACTGTTGATTTTCAAAAAAAAAAACGTTCATGCCCCGCATTCCAATGCTGGAGCAGAAAAGCTTGAAATACCTACCAAAACACTTGAATAAAGACATACTGTCAGCATGAAAATGCTCTGTGCAGGTGTTATTAACAATCACATAAACTATGAAGCCATACATTGAATAAGCTATACATATAATATGATTATCATAACCTTTATTTTTAAAATCATGCCAGTGAGCTAATTGCATGTACAGAGTGAAAGAAAGTAAAGTAAAGTAAAGCAGTAGAATTTCTGTACTAGCTATGATAGTACTTCATATGATTCGTCCTCACCGTCATCATTCAATGTGGTCTATCTCTTGCTACTAGTGACTGGTAATACCTCTGTAGATTCCTAACACTGGCAGAGTACCGTACTCATTCTCTCTTGTCAGCTCAATACTTTTGTGACAACATCAAAGTGATTTTAGTTTGTATGTTGGAAAAATACAAAAGACTAACATTCTAAGTTATTGACATTCTTGAGTAAGAACAATCAGTTTTTGAATGTTAAAAGCAAAACAAGGAAAATAAAAAAAATGTTGAAATTGTTAAAATGCAGAATTGTTAAAATTGTTAAAACTGATAAAATTGTTAAAAATGATAAAATTGTTAAAAATGTTAAATTGCTAAAAATATTAATGTCCGATGCACTGGGGTTCGAACTTGCAATGTCTGGGATTGCCGCCTTGCGCGTTTCCAACCGAGCTAACATGTTCGTGGAGGGCTAATTAATCTCTCGTGAAATACACACCGGGACGCTTATGTGAGGCGGGCGGGCCAGAGCTCTTGCGGCCCCGACCACGAATCAGACTGGATACCAGGCTATAACAGAACCTAGATAATACTAGTTGGTAAAGATTGCGGAAAATTGTTGATACCGTGGCGCGCGCGCCGACGATACACATTACGTACCGCGTAACTTTTTTGTTTACACGCCGGGCGCAGGTCATTGACCTCCAACTTGCGTTGTTCCAACAGAGAGGAGCAAAATGTCTGGCTCCCGCAGAACGTACCGCACTCTCCCGCTGGACGTACCGCACTCTCCCGCAGAACGTATCGCACTCTCCCGGAGGACGTCCCGCACTCTCCCGAGGGAAGTCCCGCACAGCGTCCGGCACTCTCCCGCAGAACGTCCCTCGAAAATCGATGCGTATTTCGTGGCCTGTGCTGTACCTACCAAAACACTTGAGTTCATACTGTCAAAATGGAATGGCTTTGAACAGGTGTTAATTGAGTTAATCGAATCAAATCCAACAGCCAATCAGCAAGAAGAATAGATTGGTCTGGTTCATGCTTGCATGACCATATATGGGCATACCGCCGAATTCCTTTCTTATTACGTCACGCGCGTACGTCCCCACAGTACTTTCCTATGGGGACCGCTAAAAAAGCAAATAAAACGATTGTAAAAGCTTGTATCACAAAAATTTAAAAAACGCCTAGGGGTATTTGCCCACTGTACCTCCATACCAAATTTCAGGACCTAAGGCCCTAAAATGAAGAAGCTGAATCCATTTAAAGATATGGCAGGAGGAGGAGGAGGAGGAGAAGGAGAAGAAACATCAGAAAAAGCAATATGGGTTCACCACCACTTCGTGGTGTGGTGAACCCATAATGAATGAACATATAGAACTTACAAAATTCGGCTTGTCTAATTTCATAAGATATATAAATTTGTCTAAACTATTCAAATATTTAAAACTAGGAAACTTATTTCGAATACAGTTAAAAAGAATATTTCGCTCGCTATTGTATAAAGAGCAATCTACAACAAAATGACACTCGTCTTCTATCTTATCTAAATCACAATATCGGCAAATTCTTTGCTGCAAGGGAATGTGGTTGTGTCTGCCTTTTTCTATGTGGAGTTTGTGAGAGCTAATCCGGAGTTTCGTGATGGTCTTGTGTGCTCCTGAAAAAGATGAATAAAACATGAGAGTACGAACTGAAGTTTGTCCACATTAACAGTCTTTAAATAGCCTCTACCAGGCTTCAGAGGCGGCTAGAAAGCAGTAGACATTATCCCAGTAGACAGATAACATGCCCGGGGAGTTAGTCTTCTAAAGAAGTACAGTTTCAAAGCGAAAAACTCTAGCTACCTAAATCCCCTGGCATGTTTCGCCCTAATTTCTAACCTTTAAGTTGTCTGAAGCCTAAAAGAGGCTACAACCATGCTACAGAAGACATAAGGCCACACCAATTTAATTTCTTGGTTAACGGATTTGCCCGCTTCATTTTTTTCTGATTTGCAAAAAAAAATTAGAATCAACTGCAAAATGCTCACATTTTGCCCTGAACAGCTAAAAACAGTCCTTTTCTTCCTAGTTGTTACAGTTATTCCATCTTTCAATGCAATGGTATATTAAAGTTCAAAATTCATTGTTTAAATTTTGAACCAGTCTCGTGTGTTGACTTTATGGCTTCCATCGTACCTTTTAGGGCCATAATAGGATGCCTAGGCCTGTTTTTATTTTTATTTTTTTCGCCCGCCCGCTCCATTATTTTTCTATAAAAATACGTTAACCAAGAAATTAAATTGGTGTGGCCTTAGGTGGAGTATAGCGTAACACCACGTAGGCAGTATTTAGATAGTTTTGTTTTCCCAACAAGTCAACTGACGATGACGCAAGGTCCAAAGTACAAAGTCAAGCAATTAATTATAGGTCCGTCAGCGACAACGTCAAAATATCCCTCTGCGATTTCCCAGGTAAGAGACTCCGTATTTCTGTATTATTCTACACCCACTGTGTCCGTCTTTGGGTAATGTTGTGATCAAGTTGTTTGTCGTTTCTTGTAAATATATTTCCTCGGATAAGGTAGACAACTAGTCAACTAGTCTCCAGCAGACTTCTTTTGCGGGGAGAATGAATCGTAGAAATCGGCCTAAAAAGGGTATTAATTGGCCAGAGAAGATAGCCGGTCAGAGAAGCTCCATTTCCCCACCGAGGAGCTTTTCTGGCCGGCTACCTTCTCTGGCCAATTAATACCCTTTTTAGGCCGATTTCTACGATTTATTCTCCCCGCAAAAGAAGTCTGCTGGAGACTAGACAACTAGCATTCTCAACCGGATATACCACAAAAGGTTAATGATTGTAAAGATAGGGTTGCAGATTGTTAATACATTTTTCTGTAGTGTCACGTATACTCTGATCGACTCAAAGGAGCATAAATTCATATAACGTTATCATTTGAGGCATAAGCATTCATTAAACGATACAGGTCAGCAAATATAGGACGTATGGTTTGACAAAGAATTCAGTAGACCAGAGAAGATCTCTAACGGTTGTACTCTAAGCGTGGCTGTTTCATCTAACATTCTACTAATTCATACAGAGTTTGCTGAATATCACATTTTTAACATCAACCTAACTGTGCAATTTAGCCTTTGGCCAATTTCTACTCTTTTCAGTCGCCTATGAAGACTGGTGAGGCTACAACCATACTACTGAATAGTTAAAGGAAGTCTAATACATACAAAATTCAATATTTTCAGGGATTTCAAAATGGCGTCTGGGGCCGCTGATCAAAAGGACGTGCCGATCCAAATGGCTCCGCCCACCTATGACGCATCGATGCAGCAGGGCGTGGCCATGCCCATGGCACCTGGCCCTGTGACGTCACCCATGCCCATGGCACATGCACCTGTGGCTACGCAACAACAAGTGGTAAAATATCCATGAATACTTGTCACTTTGAATCTAAAAAGAAAAAAAAAACGAAAAAAGAAAGAAGTTTAACATGGTAGACACTCAAAGTCAGACGGTTTTAGGAACAGTCACTGCTATGTATTTTTTAGTATGACATTTTTTTTTATTCCAACATTTCATGACTGGACATGAAGACGACACACTCTTTTCAACATATTCTATGCCGCCACCAACACAGGGGACAAATACATGACAGGAAAATACTCTTTTTCACTCGAGTTAACTGAGGAAAGTCGTGTTAAGTGTCTTTCCCAAGGACACAAGATCGGTGGCATGTCAGGACTCGAACCCGGGATCTCTTGGTTCCGAGTCGCGTACCCTGCCCACTGGGCCGGCATTTTGGTTGCGAGATCCTAGAAAGTCAGACCTATAATGTAATTTCGCTTCAGTATGATGCTACAATCACGACTGTTATACCAACAACAGTTCAAATCTACCTGGCAACTTTCAGGTTTAACCACCAAACATGGTGGGCAATGCTTACGTCATAGTCACGTGAGTGCTAACGTTCCATATTTGGTCATGTTGTTCAGGTTGTCACTCAGCAGCCTAGCGCCGTGACTACAACGACCGCTGTGGGACCATTCAAGCGAGACTGGAACAGTAACATGTGTGGATGCTGCATGGACCCAGTTAGCTGTAAGTAGTCATCAACACTCATCACATCCTTTTACATTCATATCTGTATGTTCCTCTTCTTGAATGAATGGATGAATGAATGAATGAATGAATGAATGAATGAATGAATGAATGAATGAATGAATGAATGAATGAATGGATGAATGGATGAATGAATGGATGAATGGATGAATGGATGGATGGATGGATGGATGAATGAATGGATGGATGGATGGATGAATGAATGAATGAATGAATGAATGAATGGTTTATTATGTGAAACATCGCAGCTATCAGGATGAAGTAAGTTTCACTTACATATATGAAAGTACGTTTCATTTACATAGTGCACAACTCAATATGACGAATAGCATAAGATATTCCCAAGTATTAAAATATTGATTAGAATAAAATACATTGTATTACAACAACTTAACATCTGAGTGTGGTTGATTTACCACGTATTATTTGTTTGTGTTAAGCAGTATCAACAGAGATGGTACAGGGCTGTTCTTTATAGCAAGGGTGTTTAAACGTTTTAGGATTGAAAATAAGAACGGTTAAGCTGTCCTTAGTACAAACTATTCCTTCATTTGAAAATATCAAACGCAATTTCTGCTTCGTGCATTTAAAATCACGATATTATTTTAATCACGGATCGCTCTCTAAACTGCGCAGTGTCTCAAATGTTGAGACAAAAGTTTGAAATCATTTTATGTTATTTATAATTACATGTGTACAATACCGTTTGTATAAAGTGATGCAAAACCTTTGTCAAACTAAACAATTTACATTGAAACAAATATGGCCTCTTAATACGCTAATACCAACCGTTTGCGTTACATAGTACAATTATGCCTGTTCTTTAAATGTGCAGGTTGTTGTGCGTTTTGTTGCGGTCCGTTCTACCTTTGCCACACCCTGACACGTATGAACGAGAATTGCTGTGTCGGCTGGCTGCCCTGCTTTGCTCTACCTGCCATGAGGTCCAACTTCCGGGGTGAACATGGCATATATGTGAGTTTGGTGTCTTTATCATGTGAAACTATTTTATCAAAACACCTGGTCGCGCTGAAATAGACATTCATCCCCCATGAACACCCTCTGCCAAGCCACCCATCATGCCTCTTTCACGTGATCCAACTGACCTGTCACGAGGATGTCAGGTGAACAGTCACGTGACCTCCTCCAGAGATCACGTGATTACTCCCCAGAACTAAAAAAAAGATGGCGCATGCCGCAAGTTTCTCAAATCGGAGCTTTTATTAGTTGAGTTGTAATTTAAATTGTACTTCATTGTCAATAAATATTTAGATCATGAGCTCATTTTTACTGACAGTCATAGCTACATATAGACGTATAATGAGAGACTGCATATAACAGTTATAGATAACTGAAGACCCAACTCGTTCAGAGTTTTCATTGCAAAACCTTGTAGGCTACACCTTTGATCTACGAAACTTGTCTGAAGAAGCCTGTGTTTATTACTTAGGGATTGAGCCCTCGTGTGTTCGAATACCAAAATACATATTTTGATACTCTCCAAGCAGAGGTTTGGGTTTGGGGTCATTTTTAGCGTGTTTTTAGGTTTTTTTTTTATCGGGTTTTTTCTTCGGCACTGAATTTTTTCTAACCAAGCCCAATTCAGTGCAAAAGAGAAACCCCGATAAAAAGCCTAAAAACACGCTAAAAATACCCCCAAAACCCAAACATCTGCTTGGAGAGTACTATTTTGACTCAATCCTACATTGTTGACACAAAACGGTTTACACCTGACTAATGTTTAGACTGCATACTGCCTATGTTCATAATATGTTCGGTGTAATTGTAGGTGTGGTTGTGGTCTTTTGACGTTAAAACGTCGCGGTTTGCATTTTTCCCTGCAGGGCGATCTGTGCAATGATGTCTGCACCTCTGCGTTTTGCTCCTGCTGTGTTCTCGCGCAGCTGTCTCGCGAGATCGACTACGTCAACCAGCAGCCTTCTACCATCATATTTCGGCAGTAGAAAAGGAGATGTACTAAGATACCTTTAGACTTAGCAAGGGACAAAAGATTGGATTGAACTGTACATATAGAATACAACACGGGGTATTCCGTATCGCCCGACCGCGGGAGGGCCGGGACAGAGGGTGATGCGGAATACACCGTGTTGTATTTTATTTATGTCATACCCACCCAAGAAAACGCGCCTTTCAATGCATAATGAGCCAAAAGTTGGTGCCACTAAACCCTAAAATGCAACAACATCAATTCCAACATCCGGATTTTGCATTCGAGTTTTCGAAAGCGGCGCACGCAGTAGGGCAAAACGCGTTCGAATCGTTCTATGGAAGCCAGGGCCGTACCGTTAAGTACGGCCCGGTCCGGAACCCGTTATCGAACGTTATCGCGGCCCGGGTATGATATAAAGAGAAATAGTATTACACTGATTTTGTCTAGCAGTTGTAATTTAGAGCAAGGACATTATACAGACAATGTCCTTGTTTAGAGTTGATCTACTGCTAATTTACAGCAAAGAACAGTTAAATATAGATATGGATTGATAGAGAGGGACACAGGTGTTGTCAAATTTAACTGTAGAGCTTCAAAAATCAGTAGTTTGGTGAGTACAGTAGGTCAGAAGGAAAGATGCCACCGCCTCTGAGGCGTTACCAAAAACGCGGAAAACACGAAATCTTCACTGATTAAACGAGGAACCGCTGTATTGTTTACATGCAAATTATTTGTAGACATATGCAAATTATCAGTATGCAAATCACCCGATTGTCACCAGCTTTTTGCCTACCACTTGCTGGCCGTGTTGTCCTGGCGGTCGCTCTTATGGTGAGTTACATGTACATGTGTTTCCTATATATGGTACAAAAAGTGAGTTATAATCCAATTTTTTGTGATGCTATATTTGCAGCCAGCGCGTAGATAGATATCAAATTACGGCTGAATAACGAGATAGGTTTTTCATCAAACGAACTCATTTCAACTCAAGAACCCCCCACTCCACAGTTTTCTTTTCTGAATATGAATTGGACTATCAATAAAAAAACGGTCCTTATTAGGTGTATTACACACGAGAATTGCAGGCACGTGGCGTCATTTTACTAAGGTGAAAGTCGAACGTAAAGCCTCGGTCACAACCCGCCGTGCGTGCTTTTTGTCCGTACGTTTTTTGGGAGGCTACGTCTGCTACGTTTTTTTCTGAAAACGTGGGGAAGGAGTGGCGTCTACGCACGTCACTCTCACGGTTTCGCAAGGTGTAAGAGTGGGGTCTGCACGCCAAGTCTGGCCGTGAGCGGTTGCGTGCATCGTACGTTGCGCAAGTGGTAAGTGAGTTGTACGTGCTTACAACGTACGATCTCTGTGCGATTGCAACTTTACCGTAAGGAGGCCGTACTCACACGTGCTTCTTCCGCACGGCACGTACGGGGCACGCGCGTCGCTCGTACTCGCACGCACGGGTGGTGAATCCGCAGACCGCACGCAGAAAAAGTTTTACATGCACTTAAAGTTCTATGGCGTGTCTGCGTGCTCCCAAATCCGTAGGTACGGAGGCGGTACTCACCACGCACGGATGCCCTACGTTTGCCCACGTTTTTGCACGTAGACAGCACGCAGAAGCACGTACGGCGGGTTGTGACCGTAGCTTTAGTCGATTCGTAAAGCCCCTGCCACACATTTTGGACCTTCCCACGACCATTCCCCAACCAAGGTCGTCGCTGAGTTGGGAGTAGACAAGGATCCATCTTATTCAACATTCTCCGTCCATTATTGCAGCCAAACGTTTGCTCATGGCAAAATTATGGTTTAAAATCTTGTTGCACCATTGCATGCACCATATTGGTACATGATTGTATAGTATTGATCGTATGATGTAAATTCTACAATGAACATTGAACAAATCGCACAGAAGATTTGTACCAGATGTTTAAGTTTCACGTCAAGGCCAATGGACCTTTCAAGGCTAAAACCATTTAACCAAGGTAACGCATCATATTGGAGTATAGTAGCGATCATATGATGCTACAATAAACATTAAACTATCGCACAGAAGATTTGTACCAGTTGTTTACGTTAAGGCCAATGGACCTTTCAATGCTATAACAAAATATACTTAGAGAACATACGTTTCTAGGAGAGAAACATGATAATGTCATAATATCCGCAATCACTACCAATTCAGTACTCTCCAAGCAGAGGTTTGGGGGTATTTTTAACGTGTTTGTCGGCTTTTTATCGGGGTTTCTCTTTTGCACTATTTTTTTCCCCACCAAACCAAACCTCTGCCGGCAGTCGAAAGCTTCAATGGGCTATAAACCTAATCACTTCCACACATTACAGTCGTTCTGCAAGGAGGTGTGAACCAGACGCATGAATAGGCACAGTCAGCAGGAGGTGTGTGGCCGAATGAATGCCTTTCTGACTGGCTGGATGTGTGATAATCCACCACAGTAAAATGGATATCCCTAATGATAATTTGATGGTTCCCGGGGAGGAGCACTGTCACGTTTCTTGAATAGGTTTGCCCCACCCCGGGGTAAGTGCCGGCAGAATGTGGTGGGGAAAAAAGTCAGTGCAAAAGAGAAACCCCGATAAAAAAGCTTAAAAACACGCTAAAAATACCCCCAAAACCCAAACCTCTGCTTGGAGAGTACCAATTCAGTACCAAATGAAGCATACGAAATCCACGCTCTATTGCTAATGACAGGGCCGGGACAGCCGTAATTTAATTTGTGAGGAGCTAAAGCATGAAATATTGAATTCAATTCAATATTGATATCATTAATGACAAACATTGAACAACAAACCATTTATAGTATGCCACCTTCCATAGCCAATATGACTGCTCGCGTCATAATTTGTGGATCAAAGGATGTTTTTGAATAAGAAAAATTAGGAGTATTGTTGCCTGGGGGCTGCCTTTTGATGTAAGTCGTGGGAATTAAAGGCGACATTTTGATGTTTAATACAACGGCAGGTGGTTATAGAAAACATCAATTACTACTAGAAAGGCCGACATTTGCTTGGGAGCAAATACAGCATATTTCAGTCCATGATAGTAGATGAAGTAATGATCTTAGGCACATAAAATTGAATGTGTGGGTCATTACGCACGACTTACGTGCAATGTGACCCCAGGTAACCCTCAATGGAACACGTGTTCCATGGCCAACGGCAGATGGAGCGGGCCATTCTTTAGATAGAACGTGGAACGGGTACAGCACTCTTGGCCCTTTTTTGGCCTGAAACAGCCATTAAAGTCCCCTAAATGAGTCATTTGCAAGTGGTGTATGTTTTTTTGTCAAAAAAATGCCCCCCAAAAAACCTTCATAAAATTTTTCAAAGGCATGTATCAAAAAAATGAAGAAAAAAAACGCCTGGGGGTATTGGCCCACTCTACCTCCATGCCAAATTTCAAGTCATTTGGCTGAATGATGGCGGAGTTGAATCCCTTTGACTGTTTGGCAGGAGGAGGAGAAGAAGGACGAGGAGGAGAAACATGAGAGAACACAATATATTTCATCCATACCATGGTATGGACTGAAATATAATAAAGAGTCTTCAATAAAATATCAGATCAGGCAGGCAGGTGGTGGACGTGTAGAGTTATACCGCTCTGTCGGGGTTATACCGTCGCCTAAAGCTCGAGATCCTGATACAACATATAGCCGAATATGCGTGAATAGTTTCGTCAGGTCGGTAAGACACTGAGTAAAGAGACTCTTTTTACACAACCAAGTCTTTGCATTCAGCCGAAATTTTGGTGACCGTCTGTCAACTTCCCCAGGGCAATTCTGACTGGTTCACATTGCACTGAGGAAGGTGACAGACGGTCATCGAAACTTCGACTGAATAAAAGACTTGGTTGTGTAAAAAGGGTTTCTTTACTCAAACCCGAATATGGCCTCTCAAACACTGTCGAACTCACCCAACCATGGTTAGGAGGAGGTAGGGAGCAAGGTCGTCTTAGTCCCCTTCGCAGACTTGTGGGGAAACCGTCTCTCCCCGGCATAACTCGCGCCGCTCCCCGAAAAATATATATTAACGCCGCAGCCTCACAAGTCTGCGACGGAGGCTATGGTCGGCTGTGGTAGCCGAATGTTTCAAAATGTTTCAAACATTCAGGTGTGGACGGGAGGTTTATGTGGTTCTGGTGGTTGACTGGTGTTTTAGAGTAGTCTAGTCTTATGGGTTCGGAGCATCCAATTGCCAAAAGTCACAGGATAAGATCCTACGTTACTTTAAAGTAACATATCTATTACTTTAAGAATATATCATACAAAATGAGAAGAATCTATGTAATACTCCTTGACTACACATGGGAGACAATATGACCCATATTTCAATATAATAACCAGTGACACGTGCATATTACACAGCAAAGCATGTATATACATAATATAGTACCACCTACCAGGGCCAATATACTTGTTCACGTCATGATTTTAAGGATCAAAAGATTTTGGGCATAAGGAAAATATTAGATATTAGGGATAATTAGTGACGACCTTTTGATTATTAACATAACGACGGGTGGTTATCGAGTTAAGTAGGCCTAGAAGCGGGTTATATATACCGATCAGTAGGGGTTAAACCTGTTTCTGTACTCCTGTGAATCATGGACACTAAATTCTGAGCTCCAAAGAAGGATATATGCAGTAGAAATGAGGTGCCTTAGAAAAATTCTAGGGATAACATACCTGGACCGTGTTACAAAGGAAGAAATCATAAACAGTTTAATACAGCACTGTCGGTATGAAAGGCCCTGACAGTTGTGAAGAGAAGGAAACGTAAGTGGTACGGACATGTAATGAGATCAAATGGACTGTCAAAAACAATCCTTCAAGGAACAGTAAAAGGAGCAAGAAAAAGGGGAAGGCAGAAGAAAAAATGGGCCGACAACATCAAAGAATGGACAGAAAAAAACCCTGCTGAAACCCTAACCCTAGCTCACAGCCGAGAGGGATGGCGGCAGATGGTCACAACTCACAACACTCCACCATGCAGTGCCCCCACGACCCTGGCCTGGGTTAAGTGACCAAGGTTCAAGGTACAAGGGGTTAAACCACCCTATATGCCTTAAGGGCTGATATACCACTCTCCAAAGGCCAAGGAAAGGTTTGGGCTTCAGCTCATTTTTGGTTTTAGGCATTTTTATTAGACTTTTTTTTCTGTAGTGTTTGTTTAAGCAAATGGTAACTGCTTGCAGCCTGGTAAATGGATACTGTCTGTCCAATTTGATACTGTCTTACAGTCACCTAAATATCGGATTTGAAATTAGTGATATACTCTACTGATACGAGACAGGGATAACAGGCCGCGATTTTGGTAATTTGTAGTGAATCCGCAACTTATTGGTGGTTATAGAACGTTTACACCTGGAGTCTTATATCGTTATTTCTTTATTTGGCTTCATTTCTTTATTTGCATTTTCTTTGGGTAGGTTGGGTTATGGCTATAGTCTTCATTTATTCAAGCACACTGGGTCACTGGTCACTCATCACTACCCTTCTCGACATGTATGTGACCTTCCACACACACACACACACACACACACACACACACACACACACACACACACACAATAATAATAATAAATAGACATCTGCATTATATACTAACTTGAAGCCCCTTTGTTTTTCTTTCGAAAGCTTTCCTGTAATCTAAAAATATTTCATCGAGACATGTAGACCCAATCACTCCATACACAACTCACATATCCATGCGTTTTTACTTTAAGGGTCAGACTCTGTGACCAAAATGACCGCGCGGGCACACACACACACACACACACACACACACACACACACACACACAGACAAAAGCAAGCATGAAAATTGTTTTTATACAAATAACAGGACAAGGTTCATATTTATGTCACATAAACGATTTATTAACTTCATTATCCACTTGTCAATAAAACATCATTAGATCAGCTCACAATTCAAAGTACATCGATTGAATTATTGAATTACATAATTTAACAAATGATTTTCAAATTGACTATTGACTCCATAGACAATTCACAAATTATCATTTATAAGTACAAATCAACCACCTCAACAATTAAAATGACAATACACTTACTATCAATGCATATTAATGCCCAAAATGGGCCCAATTTGCATCTAAAACCACAAAATCACAGTTAATACTACCTTGAGACAGGTAAGTTCTAGAACACGCCCATATTGCATTCACCAAGTGCATACATTACAATCACAAATTAACCCAACATGGACTAAAATAACCGATACAAAATCCTTTACAACTTACATCAAGTATGTCTCTTTTATATTGGACTAAACAGCCAATAAAAATCCTTGAAAACTTACATCAAGTATGTCTCTTTTATATTGGACTAAACAGCCAATAAAAATCCTTGAAAACTTCCATCAAGTATGTCCCTTTTATATTGGACTAAAACAGCCAATAAAAATCCTTCAAAACTTCCATCTAGTATGTCTCTTTTATATTGGACTAAACCAACCAATACAAAATCATTTAAAAACTTATATTAAGTATGTCCCTTTTATATTGGACTAAACAGCCAATAAAAAATCCTTCAAATCTACATCAAGTATGTCCCTTTTATATTGGACTAAAACAGCCAATAAAAATCCTTCAAATCTACATCAAGTATATATATTGACATATATAGCGATACGCTAAAATTTCTTCACATTGCTTTCTTCCACATTCCGAAACACTGAGCTAAAATTTTGATTTTGACTGTCCTGCAGTCTTCCTCAGAAATCTGACCTGAATTCGTCCTTCCGCATTGGTCACCTAGGTGACACGTAACGTCAGCAATGGGTCACATGTACCCTGAGGTAGTTTATACCGCCCATCGTCTCATATTGAATTATGATTGATGTCCCTGATGTAGATTACCTCTAATCACATTTGATTTGGGCCAATCAGAAATCATTGCTCCTCGCGGGTTCTCTGACAGAATTTCCGGCAGACTTCAAAACAAGCTTCCCGGAAGTCTTGATTGAAGCCTGTGTAAATGATCTTTTGAGTGATAGTTGTTGAGCCCTGATGTAGATTACCTCTAATCAAGTTTGATTTTGGCCAATCAGAAATCATCATCCCTCGCGGGTTCTCTGACAGAATTTCCGGTAGACTTCCGAACAAACTTCCCGGAAGTCCTGATTGCAGGCCGTGTATGTAAACGATATTTTGATTGACGGTTGTTGATGCCTGGTGTAGATTACTAGTACCTCTAATTAAGTTTGATTTTGGCCAATCAGAAATCATCATCCCTCGCGGGTTCTCTGACAGAATTTCCGGTAGACTTCCGAACAAACTTCCCGGAAGTCCTGATTGAAGGCCGTGTATGTAAATGATATTTTGATTGACGGTTGTTGAGCCCTGATGTAGATTACCTCTAATTAAGTTTGATTTTTGGCCAATCACAAATCAACGCCCCTCGCGGGTTCTCTGACAGAATTTCCGGTAAACTTCCGAACAAGCTTCCAGGAAGTCTTGATTGCAGGACGTGTATGTAAATGATATTTTGATTGACGGTTGGTGAGCCCTGATGTAGATGACCTCTAATCAAGTTTGATTTTGGCCAATCTCAAAGCATCGACCAGTTGCTTGAGTAAGTGCTTTGTGGCGTATCGTATTACCTGGATGTCTAACCTTCATCGACGGACCTCCGAACAAGCTTCCCGGAAGTTTTGATTGAAGCCTGTGTAAATTATATTTTGAGTGACGGTTGTTGAGCCTTGATGTAGATTAATCAAGTTTGATTTTGGCCAATCAGAAATCATCGCCCCTCGCGGGTTCTCTGACAGAATTTCCGGTAAACTTCCGTACAAGCTTCCCGGAAGTCTTGATTGAAGGCTGAGTATGTAAATGATCTTTTGAGTGACGGTTGTTGAGCCCTAGCTCTAGCCCCTCTAATAAGAAATCATCGCCCCTCGCGGGTTCTCTACCAGAATTTCTGGTAAACTTCCAAACAAGCTTCCCGGAAGTCTTGTAAAGGCTCTTTGAATGATCTTTAGATTGATGGTTGGTGTGCCCTGATGTATACTACCTCTAATCAAGTTTGATTTTGGCCAATCACAAATCATCGCCCCTCGCGGTTTCTCTGACAGAATTTCCGGTAGACTTCCGTACAAGCTTCCCGGAAGTCCTGATTGAAGGCCGTGTAAATGATGGGGTTTAGAACGCTGTTGCAGTACCCTAGCCAGAAGCAGAATTTGAAGAGTATGGCCGGAACGAATGATTCGGTCACAACTGACAGAGGGTACACCACGAAGAAAGGCAGCCAGCAAGCGGCAAACGTACCCATCACCAAGCCAATAACCATATTCAAACGGGTCTCCTGTTTCAAGTTAGGAGCAGTGGGTCTTCCAATCATCGACATACAGCCAACTTTGACACATGAGTTTTGTTCTTCCTCTAGGCTATTGGTCATAGACGAGACCTTGTTTTCATCATTACCATTGAGGCCAGGGCTTTTGGGTGCATCTGAGCAGAATTTATTGCGAATACCTTCGCAGTCATGCAGATTCGTTTTACCGCTTGGTGATGTGTTTGCATTGCTGCTGCCTTTCACAACGTGGGACACAACTTTGAATGTGTTACTCTGGGCTTTCGGCTTTGATTCGATCTCTTCTGCCTCGTACAAAATGTCGAGGTTGAAGTCGGAAAGCTCACTCACAGAGAAAGCGTCTTGCACGGGGGAACATTTGACCAGAACACGCTGGTTCCGTTTCGGAATCGGCCTTGGTGTACCTGGTGCCATTGCGTTACATTTGCGCCTGTTCCTGGCGATGTCAGCGGCTTTGGCTCTGGATACGGCCGAGCGGCGGGCGCGTTTCACCGCGTATCTTCTCGTGACTTCCTCGGAGATCTTCCTGCGCTGCAGCCTGGCCGCGAAGCGCTTCTTGGTCTCCCGGAGGACCATGAAGTAGAGAACCGTCATGACCAATAGCGGCGCCCAGAACGAGAGGGCGACGGAGAAGAAGACGTACTCGGGGAGGGTTCTCAGTTCGCAGAACGGCTTGGCTTCGCGTGCCCAATCATGTTCCTCCTTCCATCCGAACAGAGGTGGCAGCCCCACGACTATCGCACTGACCCACACGGCGGCTAGCATACACTTTATCCGGTCGCGACTCTTGTACTGCACGTAGCTGGCGTCGGTGACCGACCAGTAGCGATCCAGCGCGATCGCGCAGAGATTGTAGATCGACGCCGTGCACGCGATCACGTCAAAGGCCAGCCAGACATCACACAGGGTCTCCCCGAACGCCCAGTAACCGAGCAGCTCATTGGACAGCGAGAAGGGCATGATGGTCGTTCCCACCATGACGTCACTAACGGCCAAAGACACGATGAAAGCGTTTCGCGGTTTTTTTATTCGTTTGCCGAGGACGTACAGGATGATGACGAGGGTGCTGCCAAGGACGATGAAGGTCATCACTATGGAAACGATGACGCCAATGGTGATCATCTGACCTGTGGTGTATTCCGCCGACACGTCTTCGGCGGCGGATATGACGTCATCGGCGCCAGAAACATTCAGCGAATCGTTAGGCCCCATTGTCAGTTAGCGTTCTGTGGCTCTTACGACTGCAAACGCAAACGTCGATGATTTTTGACCTTCAAAATGATTACATCTTTAAAAAATGTCGACTTTTACTGCAACATACCTGCAGCAGGAGAAAAAAAAAACAAAAAAAACTCCATTAATAACTTCCACAAAAAAATTCAAGACCGTAGGATATCTAGGAGAAATTAAAAGACACAAAAACCGTACGTTCTGCTGCAGTACCAAGGTCAGCCACCAGGAGGCCCACCTTTGTCTTCCTAAGATCTACCCACATACCAAATAGCATCACAATCTATAAAGGCCTTCTTAAGTCACGCCACTAGTACGATCACATGTAAGTCTAGTAAACCCTTGCTAAAAACAAAAACAGACATTTCAAATTTTATCATTTCATCTCCCGACTCCATATCTACGAACTTAGGAAAATATATATGCAGCTCTTTACGTAAGAGAGAATGTACTGTAGCAAACAAAAATGCACATTTCTGTAGTCATAGTTTCTAACAATAGACTATTATTATTTTATTGATTGCATTGTAATATATTGTACCCTGTAAAACGGTCCAATAATAAATTTAACATTGCAGACCTAGTGCCAACGGCTACTCCTCACCTATTTTCCACCACCTACAACACAACCAGGGTCACTCTTTCAAACTCGAGTCCACGGATATCTTAGACCGCGAAACACGCTGGTGGGAACGGGGTGTTAAAGAGGCAATATATGAAAGAATGTACAACCCCACTCTCAACAGGGAAGGGGGGCTACGGGTGGATCTCTCCGGCACTTGAATTTTGGCACTCCCAGCCCCGAGGACAGACAACACTTAACGAAGCTCCTGTTCTGTATAACAGGAGCTTTCTGACTAATTTGCATAATGCAAATTAGTATGAAAGCTCCTTGTCTTGACTTGTCTGACTTTTGTTCCTTTTTCGACTTCCAAAAATATGTCTTCACTTTATTTGCATATCAATCAATAGTTAGTGCTTATAAACGTGCATTTCTCCTCTGGTCTTTCAGTCACTGACGAAAGCTAGTGGATACTAGCTGGAACGTCTGACGTTTTCAAAATCATATCCAGTTGCTTGAGTAACTGCTTTTTTGGCGTAATAAATTTAATCATTACACGCCTAGAACCAAAATGTCACAAAACGTGACTCTTACCTCTCCACTTTCATCTTTTTGATACTCTCCTAGAATTATTGGCTGTAAATCATACTAAAGTCTCCCCTTTGGCGAAATGGCAAGCATCAAAGGCCCTAATTTTCCACTATACGTTCCTATAACAGCTACTGAAGCATCGTAATTATACGATCTAGAATTCAAACAGCAGTTCTTCAATAGCGTTTCTAAGGAGGACAATTAGCCAAGCTGCCTGGGTTTCTATGGTGGAAAAATGCAAGGCTAATTGTGAAAAATTTGTATAATATGCACCCCATAGTTGTGTTTTCGTTCTGTAGATAGCTTATAATACAGAGATATACCGCACACTGGGAACTGCGTATACGTGTTAGCCTATGTTGATTTGATTATCTGAATGACACCCGTGCGCGCATGAATTTTCGTAGCCTCTACCAGGCACCGCGGATCGCTGGAAAAATAGTAGAAATTGGCCGAAATAAAGGGATAGTATACCAGAGAAGATCCAGGGCCATAGAAGCTCCAATTTCCGTGGGTCGCAAATCGGAGCTTCTATGGCCCTGGATCTTCTCTGGTATACTATCCCTTTATTTCGGCCAATTTCTACTGTTTTCCAGCGATCCGCGGTGCCTGGTAGAGGCTAGAATATTCGTCCATTTCCAAACAAGAGTTTCAACCATACTGTAAATCGTACAAAACATCTGCAGCTGAAAAATGAGCGAATAGATCTCATAAGTAGCAAAAAAAATAGCGGAAAACGATGAGGAAAAGTAAAGGAAGAAAATGTGAAGAAATGAAAATAAAGAGTCTATGAATAGAAATTAGACATTTATTTACTCCTATGTTCATATGTATGTAATGTATATATGTTTATGTTCATGTTCTGTACCCATGCGACCTGTACTTAGTTCTGTAGAACACAAATATACAATGAAGGTCTTCATTCATTATGGGTTCACCACACCACGAAGTGGTGGTGAACCCATATTGCTTTTTCTGATGTCTCTTCTCCTCCTTCTCCTCCTTCTTCTTCTCCTGCCATTTTTTAAATGGATTCAGCTTCTTCATTTTAGGGCCTAAGGTCCTGAAATTTGGTATGGAGGTACAGTGGGCAAATACCCCTAGGCGTTTTTTAAATTTTTGTGATACAGGCTTTTAGAATGGTTTTATTTGAGTTTTTTGATTGTGTTATAGCAAATGTATTACTGTGTTAGTGTGCCGTGTTTACCACGTTTGGGCATGAGTCATCACAATGGAATGCAGGGCATCAACCAATAGGCATGCAGCTTTCCTCTATTCTTCTTGCTGATTGGCTGTTGGGATTTAAGTTGATTAACACCTGCACAGAGCATTTCCACCTGCACAGAGCATTTCTTGCTGATTGGCTGATGGGATTTAACTTGATTAACACCTGCACAGAGCATTTCCATACTGACAGTATGTCTGTATTCAAGTGTTTTGGTAGGTATTTCAAGCTTTCCTGCTCCAGCATTGGAATGCGGGGCATGTAACGTTTTTTTTTATTTTGAAAATCAACAGTTTGCATTATGCAATTAAAAATCCTAACCAATAAAGTAGGGAATAGCTATCCAGCTGTTGTTTTAGTTGTATGTTACTTCATATTATAGTTATATCAATGTAAATCATTGTTTTCCCTTGTGTTTCTCATTCTTTCCCTGCCATGTCGGAAAGGAAGTTCATTCATTCATTCATTCATTATTCGCCATACCATACTCGTGTGTTTATTCACTTGTTCAACCTTAGACCACGTAAATTTCATGATAGTGAAGGCAACGTATTTTCAAACCTTTATTCGCACGCTCAGTTTTAGGGTTCTCGGTTGGGTTAAGGCGGCCTAGGCTGATATTCATGTTCGAGTTTGGGCGTGTGTCTGCACGATTGCCACATACATGTTTCGAACCCGAATCATGTTCCACCATGTTCGATATGACGTCATTCGAATAGAACGCGTGTTCGAATTCGGGGTTACCGGCGGTCATTTGTATGTTTCTCTTGTAAACCCGCGTTGTTACGCATTTTATTCACGGAGTATGACTTAAACGGCTTTACGCGCAGCTGAAAACAGCATAATTGATCTTTAGAGTAATCCATGTTTACGTATTATCACTTTTTTATCAAAATTGTCCGAGGCTATTTTGCATACAAGTCGATATTTTTTAACTGTGGCGATTTTTTAACGAAAAATGACAGAAAAATAGCTGTTTCTGTCGTTTTTGGCCCCCCAAAAAAAACAATATAAGTGACATTTAAAACAAAATAGCCTCGGACAAAAATAATGAATAGGGGGTTGGCCTTCTACTTGTAAAATATCATGATGAAAGGTGTTGTTACCGCTTGCGCGTAAAGCCATGAAATAAACAGCCTTTTTTAACCAAAATGTTGATTTTTAACCCAAAAATCCAGAAGTAGTAAAAACAAAATAACCTTTATTCAATGTGTTTCAAGTACTACTAGAACTGTGTGAAGTTTAGTTGTGGTGCAACCAAGCTATCAAAAGTTACAGGCATATGTATGAAATGCTACTCATAGTAGCCATAGGCTGCCTTAACCCAACCGAGTTCCCAGAGGATGTCATCCAAATAATGAAGACAACATGGCCTGAGTGCAAGTCAATTGGAGTTGTGCATCTATTCATGGACTGCCTACGCGCGATTAACGTACACAGCTGGCGTCTAAGGTTTATTTGCTGTACTGATTCTTACCATCAGTGAAATGCCAAACAAGGGATAGAACGTGGCCTTCAGTGCAATACTCTGCAGCTGTTGTCTATACAAGTGACGTAAAGAGAAGACAGTCTTACGCAGGTATTTTCTTTTGCTGTAAAAAACAACTGAGGGAGGTTCACCGATTGTATTTGCGCAACAAAGAAATACTGAAATAAACAAACACCTTCAATAGTGTAGGGTCTTAAGTTTATGTCAAAACCATAGGGAAAGAATTGGAAAATGAAAGGTTTACCCATTGCTGCATATTTACGACCTTTTCCCGAATTTGTTCCCGAACTCCAGCCGACCAGGTACGACTAACGATCGGGAGCACTAAATGTACGAGGGGTGATCAAAAAGTTCTCGGCCTCATCTAGAAAACGTCAGGGCAGTAAAATTTTTCTTACACTATTTTATAATATAGTCCTCTCTAACTGCAATGCACTTGGTCCAGTGATGTTCCAGCTTTGCTTTCCCCTTGTGGGAGAAGGTTCCATCTGGAGCCCCCAGATAGGCCTATACCGCATAGATGACGTCATCATTACCATCAAAACGTTGACCACGTAAGTGGAACTTGAGTTCAGGAAACAGGTAGAAGTCCGAGGGTGCTAGGTCAGGTGAATTGGCAGGGTGGGGTTAGACTGCGAACCCAAATTCGTTTGCTGCTGTCGCTGACCCCTGTGCTGTGTGGACAGGTGCATTGTCAGCAGGCAAGCTCGGAGCTTTCCTCTCCTTTTCTCTTTAATCGTTGCCCTCAAATGTCTTAATTCTGTTGAATAGTACTCCCCATTGATTCTTTAACCCCTTTGCATGTAGTCAATCATGATTACTCCCTTACTGTCCCAGAAAACAGAGGCAAAAACCCTGTCAACGGACGAAACTCACTAAAACTTCTTGGGGTGCCGGAAAAAAATTCTTGACTTCCATCCATTGTTTGCTCTGTTGTCTTGATTCGGGCTGAAAGTGGTGAACCCAGCTCATCTTGGGTTACAAATGTTTTGAGGAAATTGCATGGATTGGACTGAATTCGTTCCTTGAAATGTCAAGCCTGTTTAACTTCTGATGTTCAGAAAACATTCGAGGCACCCACCGTGCAGACAGTTTGTTCATCCCCAGGATGTTCGACAAAACATTGTGAACTGAGTCATAACACAGGCCAAAGAACCTGCTACATGTTGGCCAGTCTCACATCTGTCATTTACTACCATGTGATGGATGGCCTCAACTGGATTGTCCAT